GTTTTGTTTTGCTTTTGTGTAATGCATAAATAATTTGTTTTGTTATTGTAAAGTAATTTTTTTTTTTTTTTTAATTAATAAAATGTTTTAAAAAAACAAACAAAAAAAAAAACGGGATACTTTGGCTCTGCTGCTGCCCAGTGTCTAACTAGTAGTACTACAACCTGCAAACGTCCATCATCTAACATAACATAGGGCACTCCTCATACAGCTTTTCTGCCACGCAGTGTCCAACTTACAGTATTACAACCTGCAAACGTCCAATACAACAAATCTATCCTATAACAAAACACAGGAAGAGGAATTTACAAAAAATAGAGCAGACAGAATACGGAGCATGCATGTATCATAACCAGTCAGATTCTATCTTCAGCTGGTTCTGTTAAGTTTTCAAAAGGAAAGTTTTTTTTTTTTTAAGAATAACATTTTATTAGTCTTGTGGCAGATTAGCAAGAGTACACTGACTGTTTCTTATCCGTTTAAAGATAATAGCAAATAACAATCATCCATAGGCATGGTAGTGCAACACAATTTTAGTGCCTGGATGAGATAAACAGACACTGGAATAGTCTCTGGATGCTCAAAAAAATGTGTGACTCCATTACAGTGGTATGCCTATGGATGGCAGGTATAAATCCATGCTGGGAGGACACGTATCTGAGAGGAATGGATAGATAAAGGTGTGGGTAGGAGAGGAGAAACGGGCTAGAGAAAAAGGAAAAGACAGAAGAAGAAAAGTGTTGGGGAGAAGGGGAAGAAGGGGGAGGTGTCTCATAGGAGGTTCGGCCAAGCTGAACATAAGGATGGATTAAAGTCTCTCATTGTTAACAAAGGAAGGGTAGGAGTTTGAGTGAGGTAGAGAAAGCAATCCATGCAAACCAGAAGTCCTGAAATTGAAAGTGTTATTGGCTTCAGCGAGTAGCTCCTCAATCCTCATGATGAAGTTCAGTTCCGCTACCTATTCCCTGATTGTTGGGACAGTGGTAGACTTCCAATGCCTAGGGATCAAAGCCCAAGCCACTGAAACAAGAAAGCAAAATAGGCCCTTCTTTGTCTTTTTGATGGACCCTAGTATCATGGACAGGAGAGCCACTTCCAACACTTACCCATAAATAGGTGGCTTAAGTGAAACATAGATTGCCAGAATGATATGATCCTGGGACAGGGCCAATACAAGTAGAGATGGGTACCACCTGGCTCTCATAGCTAAGCTTCTGTACCACCTAGTCAGGATTTTGACGTTTCTCTCTTGTGCTTGTGAGACTATAGTTAGTTTGAAGGCAAAGAGAAAGGCCTTATCCAAGCCCTTTGGGAGAAGAGCATGTCCCAGTTACCACTCCCAGTCTTAGCAATAAAAGGGATAGTTGGGTAAAGCACTCGATAGGGGAAAATATAGTTTTGAAATGATGTGAAGGCACTCTGTTTCAGAAAGGTCCTCCAATGGAGTCAGGTCTCTGTGAAACTGGCCCATCCCTATGTGTTTATTTTAGAGAAGTCGGAGGTGAAAATAAGGAAGCCACTGTCTGTGGCATGGTGAGAGTTTGGTTGTTATCTTTGGTATGGTTTATCTCCATGAGGCCCAATAGCTTGTTGAATGGGAGAGGGTCTTTAGTCCTGCCACTGCAATGCATCCCCAGTAGAAGCTCTGGGGTCATGTGGTCATGGATGAGAGGAGATGTCATATTTTTAATTGTGGAATCCTATATATGAAGAAGTGAGGTAATCAGGGGTGGTAGTGTTGATAGGAGTGGGCGGTTGGTCGGGTGGATCCACGTAAGTGAAAATTTCAGTAATGGTGTTATGTTTCCTTCTAGTACAACCCATTCTTTGGAATGAGCAAAATCAAAGTTAGCAGTTGATTAGGTGCTATGCACAGCTGTTCCAGATTCAGTCTGCTCCATTCTAATGGTGGCCATACACACTTTGATTTTATTATCCAATCAATGTGCAATTCAAACACCATGAATAATGATTGATTAGCCATAACTTCCTTTTCTTCGCATTGATCAGCAGCCTTTTGGCTAAGACCAAGTGTAGTATCTATTCTTATCAGTGTGCAGTAGGTGTGCTCTGCCATAATTCTGGCCTTATGGCTGACTGTATAGCATCCATGATGGTATGAAGGATCTTCCCATGGGAACATAAACTGGGGTATACCTGGGCAGTGGAGGCTTGATGGAATTCTCTAGGGAACCAGGGCCACCTGATTTAACTTGTCTAGTTAGGGGCTGAGAAGGCAGAGGACCTCTAATGTCAACCATCCAACAGGAGTGGCATCCTGGGGGTACCAGAGTACCACTATGGCTTTGGAACCCCATTGTATGAAACTGCATAGTCCCTGACACCTTATGCTTTTTTTCAGCACAATGGCTCACGGGCTAGGCCTTTTGGACAATTTTCATTATTACCAGGCTGAAAGGCTTAGCCAATACACCCGCACTGGCACTTTTTTATTTTTGTGTATTTATTTGCATTCCATGTGTGTCACCCTTCTCTTATTGATGTATTTCCCCTTTAATCAGGATGGAGGGAGTGGGTCTTCAGGCCTATTCTTAAATTTAGGGGGATAATGTGTGGTCATCAGGTTCTTTCCTCCATTGTGTCTCTTTGGGAGAGCCTCTCACCTAATATTCTCTGGTCAGCTTTGGCTGATCAAAGAAGAGAGGGGTTTGTCGGGCCTTTTAGCTAGGTGGACCTGAGTGTGCCTTACCCCTGTTCCCCTATCAGACCTTTTGTGCTTTGGGATTCATAGAAGGGTCCTTCCTGTTGGAATACAGTGTTCATGTATTTTGTGCAACAACTACATCAGTATTCAGTGGAGATATATTCTTCAACCAGTAGATGGCAGTGTTTATAAGTTTGCAGCTGCATCTATGGTATACTCTATGTCTTTTATCTGAATAAAGTTACCTGTTTCCTTGTCGCAGTGAAGCATAAAAGCACATGTGGACTGTGCAATGTTTGTTCTGTAGGGCTATATACAGAATTTCTAACACTTCCTCTTCAGCATAAGATTAACAGACACCATAAGTGCACATGCACTTTTTTGTTACTTTTTGTATTTAGTTTTTGAACACCGTACTGTGAGCTTGTTAAAAAACAAAAGCAATGAAAAGCAACATTGAGATAATTTGGTTACATTTTGATTGATCGGATTAAGAGATTACATGGAAGAAGCAGAAATATGATCGATGATTTATGATTGTATTGAGAGCAGCTGGGTGGCTAAGTTGTTAGCACTTCCACCTAGCAGCATTGGGGTCATCAGTTTGAATCCCTGGGTACTGCGGTTTCCTACCACACTCCAAAGACATGCTTGGCTCCTATCTAAGTTGGCCCCAGTATGAATGTGAGTTAGGCACTTTAGATTGTAAGCTCCTTGAGGGTTAGATACTGATGTGTATGTACAATATATACACTATATTGCCAAACGTATTGGAACGCCTGCCTTTATAGTCCATAGTGCCAAGCCCATCTTGGGAGTGAGCAACAGAGGGTGGCTACGTTCCTACATACAGTGGGAGCATGAAGAATTGAAAGTAACCACTCTTTAACAGGAAGTTGTTTTGCAGCAGCAAAAAAAGCAGTTTTTAGATTTGGAGGAGGTGGAGAGCAACAGAAGACACTTTTTTTAACTAAAAATACTTACCTGAAAGGAATAAATTTTTATACCGGTTTAGTGTCACTTTAACTAGAAGAAATTAGCTTTTAAACATACTCTCACTAACCTCTGTAGTTGCAGGTACTTTGAAGTAGTGATCTTCAAAATTCGCTACTTGTTTTGTTTTTAGGCTAAATTAGAATCCTAGGCAAACAGCTAAATAAGATAAAATATACAATATATTGCCAAAAGTATTGGGACGCCTGCCTTTACACGCACATGAACTTTAATGGCATCCCAGTCTTAGTCCGTAGGGTTCAATATTGAGTTGGCCCACCCTTTGCAGATATAACAGCTTCAACTCTTCTGGGAAGGCCATCCACAAGGTTTGGGAGTGTCTATGGGAATGTTTGACCATTCTTCCAGAAGCACATTTGTGAGGTCAGGCACTGATGTCAGACGAGAAGGCCAGGATCGCAGTCTCTGCTCTCATTCATCCCAAAGGTGTTCTATGGGGTTGAGGTCAGGACTCGGTGCAGGTCAGTCAAGTTCCTCCACCCCAAACTTGCTCATCCATGTCTTTATGGACCTTGCTTTGTACACTGGTGCACAATCATGTTGGAACAGAAAGGGGCCATCCCCAAACTGTTCCCACAAAGTTGGGAGCATGAAATTGTCCAAAACGTCTTGGTATGCTGATGCCTTAAGAGTTCCCTTCACTGGAACTAAGGGGCCAAGCCCAACCCCTGAAAAACAACCCCACACCATAATCCCCCCTCCACCAAACTTTACACTTGGCACAATGCAGTCAGGCAAGTACCATTCTCCTGGCAACCACTAAACCCAGACACGTCCATCGGATTGCCAGACAGAGAAGCGTGATTGGTCACTCCAGAGAATCTGAAGGCCACGCGAAGTTTGGAGGTCTTTAGCTATTGACTCTGCAGACAGTTGGCGACTTCTGCACACTGTGCACTTCAGCATGCGCTGACCCCGCTCTGTCATTTTACACGGTCTACCACTTGGTGGCTGAGTTGCTGTTGTTCCCAGTTGCTTCCACTTTGTTATAATACCACTAACAGTTGAGTGTGGAATATTTAGTAACAAGGAAATTTCATGAATGGACTTATTGCAAAAGGTGACAACCTATCACGGTACCACTCTTGAATTCTCTGAGCTCCTGAGAGCGACCCATTCTATCACAAATGTTTGTAGAAGCAGTCTGCATGTCTAGGTGCTTGATTGTATACATCTGTGGCCATGGAGGTGATTGGAACACCTGAATCCAATGATTTGGAGGGCTGGACCAATACCTTTGGCAGTATATTTTATATGTACAGTGCTATATAACTACCTGTAATAAATAAAATAAATCTCTTAAAGCGTTACTAAACCCAGGACCCTGCATTCACTATATCTGGTCTCCCAGGACCCTGCATTCACTATATCTGGTCTCCCAGGACCCTGCATTCACTATATCTGGTCTCCCAGGACCCTGCATTCACTATATCTGGTCTCCCACAGTACACATAACATGGAAATGCAATTATTTTAGTAAATATAAACTGCTAACTTCCTTTTCTCATCAGCAGTTATAGCAGTCTTGTGACTTCTATCAGTGTCCAGCAGAGCACTGGTTAAAGAAGCTTGTAGTAGGAGTTTTCTTTCTGCTCTAGGATGATACAGAACCCCTGACCTCTGTCTGGACAGTGCTGATTGGCCCTGTGATGATCACATGCACTCTTCCAAGAAAAAAAAAATAACCTCTCTAGCAATACACACCAAACTGAGCATGTGCAAAATTCCTACCGTTCAGTCTGTCTTATCAGGAGATAAGAGGTGGTCGCTTGAAAAAGGGGAGGAACGGAGAAGACATGATCAAACGGCCTTTTCACACAATGCAGAGGATTGACTACTTAGGTTCCTCAGTGAGTATAACAAGCATGCTTTACTGCATATACAGACTGATTTTACTGTTGTGGGTTTAGGAACACTCTAACTACTAATCTAAATTCACTTCCCTGTGTGTGGCATATTGATCTAATCGAATATAGAACGATTATTCCTATCAGGAGAGATCATTTGGAAAATAAACTGATCATTTACTGAAGGGGATATGGCCACCATTTGTAAATTCTCCTCAGGGTGCTCTTCACATAGAGCTCTGCTGCCACCCGGTGTCCAACTTCTAGTACTACAAACTACCAAAGTCCTGCTCAACAAATCTTCCAAATAACAAAACACACGGCGCTCTTCTCATAGAGCTCTACTGCCACCCAGTGGTCACCCGGTAATACTACAGGCTCAAGATGCCCACGATGTAAATTTACCCGTGATTGTTTATTCATATTAAACACCACCATATCCCGGAGCCGCCACATTCCAATGTCTGAATTGTCTCTGGTACGAAAAAAAGTGAATTAAATAATATTAACCGCCAATGGCTGACAGTGTAAGACTACATCTCCCAGAATGCTGCGGGAGGTATCGCGATAATTGAGGGCGGGATTTGGGGCTTTATAAGGGAGAGGCGCGCCGTGTAGCATTCTCTTATGTCCTCATGGCTGCTAGGAGAAGGTGAGTGATATGGAGCCATTGTCTGCACGTGGGGTGGTAGTGTAGGCCGGGAATGGAGTTCTTCGCATTTCATTCCAATAATTTGCTGCTTTGTATCATTAAAGCCGGCCATTCACCTTCCGATGTATTGTTCAATTCATATATACCAACACTGCTAGAGGCCGTCATAAAGTGTCCTTAGGACCAGCCATTGTGGTACAAGCAGGGGCGGACTGACCATTTGGAAACTTGGGCACTGCCCGAGGGCCCGGGGTCTGTAGGGGGCCCCATGAGATGCCCCTGGTACTTTTTTTTTTTTTTTTTTTTCCCTCATAGGTTATTTTGAGTTTGATCCCCTATTGCCTGGGGGCCCCATGAGTTGTCAGTCCGCCCCTGGGTACATGGTCTAAAACCCCCTTTAGATCTATCAACTGTTTGAGGGAATTGTACAATCAGATTGCATGGTGTGTAGTCTGCTGGGAGGTGGCCATGTGTGTGGCATGTGATCTCTGGGTCAGAGGTTGTGGAAGGCAAGGGTAGATGGAGCCGGATACACATTGCTTTGTTTAGGGGTTTTTTTCTTGCATGGCTTTGTCATGTGAGGCTGGCCATACACTATACAATCTGAGGATAAACGTGCACAACCTCCTTCTTATATCCAGACAGGCTGGTCCTTGTATTATATAACTGATAGACCTAAGGCTGACTACACACCGAATCTGATCATACAATTCTCCTTCAGATCTGCCAACCGCTATGTAAAGCTGGCCATAGACTTGTTTGAATGTTGGCCAGGTCAGCAGGAACCAGCTGAGACTCAATGTATGGGCGGCTGAATGTACTGAATTTGATCGATCAACTTGGGTACTAGCAGCCTGTTGGGTTTTACATGGGATTATTGCAGTAATCGGTAAGTACTCCTGGCAGAGGGAGCTGCAGGCACCATGGCTCCACACTATTGTTGGGGGGGATAAAGGGTTTTTTTTTTTCTAGCTTTTATGCTTGCTTTGTATTGCATACCTTTTTGGTAAATTAAAGATTGTACAGAGGTTTAACCCCTTCCCAAAATTATTACAGGATTTATATAGCGCCAACAATTTGCTCAGCACTTTACAATATAACGGGAGGCAATACAGCAACAATACAAGAGGGTTAGGAGGCCTTATAGCAGTAATGCTACAGGGTGTCATGGGTGCGCAAAATAACGTGTTATATTGTATTTCTGGGTAGGGGTGCATACACTATTCATGGCCTCAGCTGTCAATCGCCAGGTCCCGTCAGGTGGTTACTCACCAGCACCCAGTGATCTAGGATTATTACCAATGGAGGGAGAGAACTGTGAACAATAGTTCTCTCCTGTCGGCTCCTGCACACTTCTGTGCATAGCAGAGCACACAGTGGTGTGCCTACCTTATGTAAAACTGCAGTTAACCCTTTGATTGTCCCAGATGTTAACCCCTTCCTGCCCAGTGCCGTTAGTAGTATCAGTGCTTTTTATTAGCACTGATCACTGTATTGATGTCAGTGAGTCATTTCCCCCCACTGTCAGATTGTCAGCCACAGTCCTGCAATAAGTTGCTGATCGCTGCAATTGGTGTAAAAGAAAAAAAATCCTTTGTGTATATACCACCATTTGTAGACTAACTTTCACATAAACCAATGTACACGTATTAGGAATTTTTTTTTTTTTAGCAAAGACCTATTGCAGAATTTGACTATTTGATTTTTTACTTTTTTTTTTTTTTTTTTCTGGCCATGTTTAATAAAGTGAAAAATATTCTCAACATAGTTGGGGCTTTTTGTTTATAGCAAAAATTAAACGCACAGGCACTCAAATACCACTGAAAGAAAGCTGTTTCAGGGAAAGGCTTATGCAGGCCATAGATGGGATGAAAATTTGTCCGGAAGTATAATTGGCCGATTTTTGGATCGTTAGTGGGTGAATTTGTCGGCCATTTTTGTGATTTTTACACTTTTTTTTAATCGGTTATGTTGGAAAAAAACTGGCTGATTTTCATGGCAATGATGGGCAAATCGGCCGTTTTTACCAATTGAAAAAAATGCGCATGAGCCATGACCTGCAAGAAGAAAACAAACATCTCTATCCATTTCGGATACAGATGTTTCTATTTGGATACAAATAGATACAATGTTGCAACCGCAATATTTTTAAATGTCAAATAGCAGGGTGTCCCTACAGAGCTCCACTATTATATTTGATATTTAAAAGTGTTGCGGTTGCAACATTGTATCTGTATCTAAATAGAAACATCTGTATCTGAAATGGATACAAATAGATACAATGTTGCAACTTTGCTATACTCTTAAATGTCAAATATAATAGTGGAGCTCTCTGCAGGGACACCGCTATTATACTTGCCGGCCATAGACGGGCCAAAAATCAGCCTTTTTTTTTTTACCAATGGTGGTAACGTCACAACACAGATGGTTTTTCGCCCAGTCTGTGGCCTGCTTTACATTTAATTTGGGTGCAGCATTGCATGACCAAGCAATTGTCAGCTAAAGTAGTGTATTGCCATAATGCAAAAAATGGCCTGGTCAGGAAGGGGGTAAAGCCTCTGGAGGGCAAGTGGTTAACATTCTGTAATGTGTATGGTCTGCTTTCTTTCCCAAGGTTGGAATGTGTATAACCAGCCATGCAATATTAATTTTCTTAAGCTGGCTGTACAGTCAGTGTTTATGGGGGGAGGGGTCACTTCTACAGAGCCATTGTATTCTCCTGGTGGGGAAGAGCAGTCCCTGCCAGTGTACAGTGATTACTGCTAGTGGCTATAATAGCTGCTAGCGATAATCGCATGTAAAATCTGACAGGTTGGCTGTACCCAAGTTGATCAACTAACTTTGTTACATTCTGCCTGCCATATGTGGGTCTAATCTCTGCTGGTCCCTACCTGGAGATCAGTACTCGGTATCCACTTCTGAAGATCAGGGACTGGTCTTGACTGCATGTTTCTGGTAGGGATGCACCGATACACTTTTTTTTTTTTTTTTTTTTTTTTTTTTTTATTGAATACCAATACTTTGTGGCACAATTTGCGTCCATACAAAATGTATGGACACATTTCACGACAGAGAATGGCATGTAAGTTGAACAGCAATGCTGTGATTCCTGTCCAAATCACATGCGGTTTCCCCACTGCTCCTGTGTGAACCCAGACTTGTCATAGCCGAGATCACACGAGCGGTGCCGGAAACATCCCTGCACAAATTCATACTGTCAAAGTAAGCTGCTTCACAGGTCTAGGATTTGAAATCCTCCCGGCTTTCTCTACTCTCCTTGCATGGCTGACTGTACAGGCTAGATGGCTTCTGTTTGGTTAGCACCTGGGTTCATACAGGAGCAATGGGGACCTGCATGTGATTTGGACAGGAATTGTACCACATTCCTGTACAAGTCACATGTTTACGGTGTGACTTGCATACTTTGTGTATGGATGCAAATTGCACTCCAAAGTATTGGTTTTGGCCATTGGGAACATTTTTGTAAGTACTTGATACTAGTATCTGTATCGACACCTATACCTTTATTGGCATATCCCTAATTTCTGAAAAATGTAGACTCTTGTAGGTCTTCTTGGTGTCAGATACTTTGTTACAAGAGACTGCTCTGGTCACACTTCTATGTTGTGTGTGGTGAGAACGATTGGGCCTTGTTCACACTATGCTACATTGCTTTGGAGCTGTGATTGTGAATAGTACTGCAATATGTCTTCTCAATACATCACATATCGTGGTGCTGGTGAAAACGCCACATGCACCTTTTTGGTTCATCTGGCAGCACAGCCAAATGGGCCACCTTAATGCAATGCACATTAAACACTGCAAAATGGGGTGACTTGGCCCTCGGTTTTTATTTAGTGATTTCAAGTTAAGCGTTAACTGTCAACTTTTGGTCTGTTTTTCTTACATTGCAGTGATTGACAGAACTTGTCAATTTGTTTTAACA